TGAATAATCGATAGCCGTTCATAGCTGTAGTTATGTAATGGCTGGTAGGCGAAAAAAAGTCGAAACTCCGCTCAAAAACGGAAGAGAATGCGTAGTTGAGCGATCAGTACGCAATTCGGCGTTTACGGAGACGTCTCACCATTGTAGGTCGATCAATTATACGAATCAGTATGGTGCGTGGCTTGTGGACGAGTTCTCCGGTCCGAGGGAGCGGCTGAACAGGCTCAGGGAGGTGTCAATTAGCGTCCAGCAGCGTCCCAGTTACGGTAGGACAGCTGCCAGCCACGCCATCCGACCGACACCCCAACTAAAGGTGCTCACCCGCTACTATTCTTCACATTAAGCTCTTATCACTTGCAACCTGCGATTGCAATTTGCTGGGTCTAGCTCGTTACGCCAGGTCTTCTTTGCCATGAAACGTTGCCTCTGCAGTAGGTCTTCTGATTGAAATTGATGAATATCTCCGAAGGGGATACTCCACGATTTATACTCTTCAACGAGGCAAAATCCTGCGTAGCAGTGAGGTAGTTTGAAAAAAACTGAAAATATTTGGAAAACACAAATTTTGCTGCAACCCTACGATAGATCGGAATGTGGAGGCATAGTTGAATTTTCATCTTTAATGTTCGCCAGTTTGTACACTTAGTATCTCAAACTGAAGGAATCCGAATTCGTGACGTATTTCAGATGCTAATACTGCATTGCTTACCATAGCACAGCAGAAATTCTAATGTACAAACACTTCAATGCGCATTCGCCTGGAAAAATTATAATTTATTCGCCTGTAGTCAAGCTCAGTATCAAAAAGATAAGTCCGTTTGGGAAAAGCTAGAAAAAGAGTCTCCCCATCCGTATTTTAATACAGGACAGTGCTTTCATGTTTACTAATGGGAAGTGCCTTCTGGTGACTTGTTTCCCGGTGGTAGTTTTTGTGACAAGCGACGCCGCTCACTAATTAGCTCCTTAGGTACTTTGATCATAATAATCAGACTGAGATTCATGAATTGAAGGCAATATCCTGTAGTGCTCGATGAGCCAAGTGTACTGTGTGGGATTCGCTATCTGAAGCCCAAATTTGGGAAGAATGCAGTAGTCAACGAAAGGATGATCGCGTTCCCCAGCCCTTGAAAACAATAAAGGGATGGAGGTGAAAAGGGTGACTTTGTCAAAATGGGATGTTTGTCATATCGTTGGATAGCATTTTTCTTGCGGAATCTAACCGTGTAGGTTTTGGTAGGGTCTCATGAATTTGGCCAGTTCCCATTTTTATGGAGTTGTAGCGAAGTTCAAGGTTTATCGCACCCTAGCAATCAGAGAACACTCTTGATTGGCCCACTGTCGATTAATACTGCAGCAGTTATTGTTCAAAAGTGTTCTATGCCTCCTAGCTTACGGTACCCGTTATAATGATGCGTCAACATGAAAGTGAAAGAAATGCAACTGTTACACCAGACCAGGGCAAACACTGATCTTCAGGGCCATTTTGTAAGATTCTCTCCCCTCCAAGGGAAGAACTAGGAGTTTTCTATATAATACTAAACCGAGAGCACAGCCGCTCAGCGATTCGCGCACTTTGCTATATCCGATGAAATACACCTTCAAACTTGGAGAAAATTGTGGAATTAAGTCCACTGACTGCCCTAAGAAATTTGAGCCAAAGTGCATCAAAGGTTCGAAAACTTGGCGATGAATTGAGGAGCCCGGAAAAAGTTTACGTCTTTGGAGGTCAAAAATGGGATTCTGTCTGTTTTTCAGGGAGAAGCTGCTGACCAGCTTACCGATCTTCAGAACTTTATACAGCATTGAATTCGCCACATGGGGGCAAATCTAACGGTACTCATGGCTTTTCATTTTGCCTTCCTTTGAAGGGAGTTGTGGCAGTGCGACGCTTTGCGGCGGACTAATCGGCTTTTTTCCTCAAAATAGGAGCAGTATTGTATTTTCAACTTCTACGCCAGGGCGCAGCAGTGGTTGTGGGATTTTGGTCGAGCCCGTACGACCTCCCCCCTTTTTTACTGTTTGTTTTTTCGAGCTCGAGCTAGGCATACCTATATGGCGGCTCTAAGTTGTAAAGGCATAAAGTGATACCACTCAAAGTTTGGAGGAATACCTGTCAACTTTTGTGAAGCAATGAATACGATGTGAAGTAGCGAATGTGCTGATCCTCCCCCCCCCCCTACAAAGCCTAAGGTCGCATTCATGCTTGACAACTTGGAAGAAAAGACGAAACTGCGGACAGTACAACGTATATGTATCGATTTAAGAAAGAAGCGGAATTGGGAGAAATACAGAAATTCCGAAATGGCGAACAACGTCTTGATACGGATTAATCGCTTGGCCCACCAGTGAGAGAAACCAACGCCAACCAGAACCAACGCCACAAGGTGGTTGCATGGTGGTTGGGAATGGGGCGCGTTTTTCCAGGTAAAGCAACTTGTCTTTGAAGGGCCATAACTTCCTCAAAGGCGGACCTGTGGAAAAGAGGAAAACGCAGTCGCGTAAAACAAGGTTCGACTTCACTGAAACGTTCATGAAGGTCGCCAAATTCAGGAAGAAATTCAGCGTTGGGATCTATTGAGGATTTTGACTTTGCATGCAAACTGTCCTGGTTTGAACGAAGATATTTTCCTTAAACTCAACAGTTTGCAAATCTGAAACCAGTGTCGAATACTAGAAGATTTCCTCTTTTCAAAAACTACTTGAGCTGTTTGTGAAGTTTCCGGGATTCATGAGATAATTGCGTTGGGGATTTATTAGAGGAGCACTCCGAGCTGCTCGAAAATCCGTTTTCTGTGTACCGCTTCAAGTGGTATTCAGAAAACGGATTTTTCAGGTCGGTTTCGTATTCGGATATCCAGGAATGCATCTAGAATGCATCCCTTCGTGGAATAGGAGCAAGCAGTAGGTGTTTTAGCGCCCATTAGCTTCATTTGTGGATGCGCCATGCTTAGGCTCCCACGCAGAGGTAGTGGGATGGTGCAAGTTCCACGCAATGCCTGTCTACACGAGCAGATGTGTTGTCCGTTGCGGATGATGGGGCGTGTCCGTGTTCGACGCCGCCAGATCCGCCAATCGCTGACTCCGATAAAGGAGACCAACTGCTGGAAAACGTCTGATACGAACGATATGGTAGTCCTGTCGTTTGTCGAAAAAAAAAACAGGTTGGCTCAGCGCCAAGCGCGGTCGCGGACACGCCTCCATCATCCGCAGCGAACCAGGGTATGAGTTGTACTGTTTAGCCATATACCTACTTACGAGATGATGTCGACTTATTAATATTTCAATATTTCCAGTTAATTTCTGATTAGTTTAATCAAAGAAAGTTTTGTACTATTTTTTACATATCCGGATTCTCTACAAAGCAAGTTTCGCTACACAGGACTCAGCACCCGATCGCGGACCACAAAAAGTTGAACGCCGAAAGCGAACGTTCTTTTCGTCTCGCGGCTGCATTGCGGTTTTCACCCTGGGGCGCGCTATTTCGACTAGTCTTGAATGTGTCCCCACATGTTCGCATTGAGTATGCTGTGCTTCCGATGCCCATCCCTTCCACCTGCATGCAATGTACGGTCCCTTCGTCGCGCGTTGCGGTTTCCGCGAAGCTTTAGCTCTAGTTTATAGCCTCCCTGCCTCCCCTCAATTCACGTTTGCACACGCTAAGCATTTTGATCAGGAAAGAACCACCTTTGAGCACGTTATAACAATATGAGTCTCGGTTTGACTTGTGGAGTGCATCCTCTACTGGCAAAGGGTGTGAACTACAAGCACCAATGATTAAACCAATCAAAAATAAATTTATGATACAAAATCGAATTTCCACTTATCCCCTTCGGCACAATCGCAGGCATTTTCTTTGCCTTTGCTTAATTACAGTTGGCGCAGAAGCCACAGAGTGAATATGCATTAGACGTGGATTGCGGTAGCAGCAGTGAGTACGCAATTGCACGCGTGACTGGTGGTATTTATACATAACACCAATGGTTGTTTCACCGCTGGTTGTTTTCCTTACTGATTCGATCACTAATTGGGTAGGAACCGGATGTGAGCTCACTCCGCCCTTCCTGGCATCACCCAGGCTGACTGCGACGACATCTGCTACATTTACTCGCGCAAAAAGTATGTAAATCAATTAAATAAATAGGTCCAAAATTAATAACTATAACTCACTGTAAAGTACGGCACAACGGATAAAGAAACACACCTGTTCTGTTGTGTTGCCATGAATAAAAAATTCAATAGAGAAAGCGCGAAACATCTCTTTTCCGAATGCTTCCACTTCTTGTACATTGAGATCTAAAATCCTTTTGACCATATCATAGGACTTCGTGCAAGGATCTAGGAATAGAAAAAAAACGCTTTCTTTTGCAAACGGCAAGCAGCTGTTCAACGGTCCACTTAAAGTCTTGGAGTAACAGCTCGGCATAAATTGGTAACAGCTTTTCGGGTTCCGAAAGCAAAAAATTCTTAAACTCTTCGCTTCTCGTTGTCCAGTAGGTTGTCAAAGCGGAGAGGATCTGTAAATGAAATGTCATGAAATGTCACTCCAACAATACAATGGCTTATTTTTAGACTTCTTGGCTGATGAATTGTACTTCCTGAAATATTTTAGTGCGGTCGTCAAGGCAATTAAAAAGAGTTAATCTGAAGTCTCGAAGTGACTTACCCGGTTTGAAGTCAGTCATTCGCTTGATAACATGCTCAACCAGTTGCGGTTGTTTTTCGTCGTAACCACTCACCTGAATGATGTATTTACAGCCATTTTCCCTGGGGATGTGCCTGAAGGAGCCTGGATGGGAGCGCGGCCGGGGTGCCTCATCGTTGGTTGAAAATGCCGATCTGGCCGAGCTCATCCTCCTCACATACCCCCTCGTTTGCAAGAATGAAGACTATAAGCGTTGGCAAGGTTATTACGGCTCTTACATATACTTCTATCTCTCCTACATTTCCATACTTTCTGGAAGTTGTGAATACACTTCTGTAAGAACACCGAGAAGAGCTAGTAGTAATATGAGCAACTACCCGAAAGTAAACTATGCCGAATCATCGTAACTCGCAAGGCCGCGACAAACTAAATTATGACGTTTTTGTTCGACTGATGAATGATGAGATACGAAATTAGATGAGAAGGAGAGCGGAGGCTGAAGTGATTTTGGCAAAGAAACGGTACCAGTCAGTCCTCAACCAATTCGCAAAAGCGTTGTAGCGCGTCTATACATTGAAGTGCTTGGCCCCACGGCCAAATACCAGTCTCACTCAAATCCGCAGCGGAAAAGTATGTCGTATCCAAGATCAGGCTTGTATTTTGTATAGAAATTCGTAGGGTAAGATCAAATAAACGCTTTTACTAAGGCGGCCGTACGACCTAACGATTCTAGCTGACACAACGCGAACTTGGACGTCATCTCGATGTGACTTGGCACAAGGCCTAGAAACAATTAACAGCTGGAAGGAGCGAAGACGCAGCGCTGTAATGTACCGTAGGGATCACCCACAGCTGCCATTGCATGACGCTTCAGGCTTGAGTTTATACAGTGGCGTGATATGTTCTTGTCACGTTGAAGGCAGGTTGTCGCACCGGTGCAAAACTTTTCTCCGGCTGTTAAGCGATTCGCTTAAGACATCGAGACTGCTTTTGTGTGGAACTTATCGGGGTAGAGGCCTCCCCATCCAATAGTTTCGCAAAACCACGGCTCCCTCCCACTGAGTTCGCTATGGCTATCGAGAACACAGCTATTCTTTAGACTATGACCTGGAAGATGCTCAGTAACAAGACGTAATCCTTTTAACACAGTTCCTTCATTTTGGCCTTAGCAGCTCTCATCGGCGAGCCAGAGTAGTCCATGAAATAGTGTGAGGACGCAGATGCTGACAATCCTGTTCAGTTGACTGTTCACGTTACCGGCACGTCTTTTTCTGCTATGCGCGGCCAGTGTTTCAAGTTCAAATCACTCACTTCCAGCAGCCAGCCCAAAATCATATGAGCTTATATCGCAGTAGACTCCTGCCAGCATCGCATTATAAATAACTTCCGTCAAAGCATCCTGAAAGGGTAAAGCATATGCCAAGAATCCTACCGTATATAATTTGCTGAGTCCGTTCTTGTGTTTGGGTGTGTGTGCGTGCTGTGTGTAGTATTGTGTTGGTGTTTGTAGTGTCGTGATATAGGCTGAATGTGTCCGTGTGTACGTGTGTGTGCGATGATTATTGTGTGTCCGTTGTGTGGTGTGTGTGTGTGCGTGTGTGCGTGTGTCTGCGATGTGGTGGTGTGTTTGTGGTGTTTGATGTGTGGACGTTATGTGTGCGGGTTTGTTGCGTGCGTGTGTGGTGTGGGTGTGTGTGTGCGTGGTGTTTGGTGCTCTGTGGCGTAGTATTTGCGTGTGCGTGATGTGTGCGTGGTGTTTGTAGCGTGCTGTTGCGTGCTGGTGTGGCGAGGGGATACCGCCTGCATGGTGGTGTGTGCGGTGTATGGAGCGTGGTTGTTGTGCTTTTGTTTGAGGCCCCACCCCATCCCTCCAGCACGCAACGGCTGAGTTGTGTGGTGCTGTGTGTAAGCGCGATGCATTGTGTTGAGCCCCGGAACTGGGTTGTGGTCGTGCGTGTGTTTTGTGTGTGTGCGGCATTGTATGCGTGTTATGGATGGGTTGTGGTATGTGTGTGTGCGTATTTGGTGTGTGCGGTGTGTGTGGGTGGGTAGGTGCGTGAGTGGATGTGTGTGTGTTTTACCAGAAATTCATAACTTACTTCGATTCAGCCTCAGAAAATGCAAATTCGGAAGCGATATGGAGGGCGGAGGAGGGCTGGACATGAACATCATTGTTGGTTGGCAAGAAGTGATAATAGCCGACAGAAACTGACAAGAGGGTTCGGAAGCGGAAGGTCACCAAATTCATATTCGCACTATAGGAAAGGAGGAACGTTTATTACAGGACATATTGTAGTGTGTAGGTTACGGACATCATTATGGGTGGCAGGACGCATTAGGAATCGTTCAGCTCTGATAAGGAGATTTACATCGCCTGATTGTATTCTCGTCATCCGGGCAGTTGATTAGGGCGGTCGTCAACGGGCCGCAGCGCGTGCCAGGAACTATTTGCTTTTTCCAGGCTAATTTAGTCATTTTTTCCACCTTGTGAAGATAAGGAGCTGCTAATCTGGGAAAAAGTAGCCAAAACAGTGAAAAGTTGGAAAAAATGACTAAATTAGCCTGGAAAAAGCAAATAGTTCCTGGCACGCGCTGCGGCCCGTTGACGACCGCCCTAATCAACTGCCCGGATGACGAGGGTAATTCCCGTCACGGTATCAGTCGGAAGATGTCCAACAAGTGATATGAGGGCTGTGCCGGGGTTATTACTGATGGGCGACAAGAGCGTTGCTGCAGTAAATCTTCTTCAAGACTGTACATGTTTTACACTACCAAGTCGTAAAGGCTCCATGATATGGGCAATGGTGACGGGTGACAAAGGTTCAAATCAACCGGTAGGAATATATAATAGTGCAAAAGCTTATCTTCACCTTTTTTACCATTATGCGTCTACAGTCGTCATTGGGCAGTTTATCAGGCGGTCGAATGGTCGCAGACGCGGCTGCAGCAGCAACCGCGTCAGCCAAGAACAGTTAGCAGCGATCAGCTGTTTCCAGCCTGGTTTGGCCGCTCCCTCCCTGACTTTCACTGCATTTCCTGTTTTTTTTTTGTTTTTCAATGTGAATTGTTTCTTTTTGTTCTGACGAAAAATATTAGGACGTGAACCCTTCCTTGTTGAACCCTTCCTTGTTTTTATTTATTCATTTATTTATTTATTTATTCAATGCACGCAGAGGTGCAGTTTGAAATTTTTTTCTTCAGGCATTTAATTAATTATTTCTCATTTGGTCCTTTTTTTGTTGGCCTCTTCTCCACTACTGTGTTCGGATATCACATTGACAGCGACACATTAGTGAAACAGTAAAAAATGCCCATCAAGAAGGATCAAAAGGAAAACGATCAACAAATACTCTGATAGGGCACTAATGAACTATTCCTACCCCAAAAAACTCAAAAAACTTTTTTCGTTGAAACGTTGGCTATAGATGTAACTCGTAACGCTGGCTGGTAACGAATATCACATCCGTTTCGAGCGCTGGCGTCATTTGGCGCTATTATGCGCCAATTTGGCGCCCACCACTTTTTTCACCATGATGAAAACTTGCATCGTTTGGGTGGAAGTAAATATCCGGAATGCGGTATTCCGGATATTTACTTCCACCCAAACGATGTCCGCTCTTTGCTCAAAAGGCTGAAACCTTCTCATAGCGAACCTTTTGATGGAATACCCCAGATAGTTTATAGGAAATGTCACTACTCTCTATGTAAGCCCCTTGCATACATGTTCAATATTTCATTTCTGCTAGGTCAGGTTCCCCAGATCTGGAAGGAAGCCATTATAACGGCAATCCCCAAGCATTCGAGTGCCACCGCTGTTAGTGATTACAGACCGATCAGCCTTGTTCCAACGCCGGTCAAAGTCATGGAAAAAATGGTTTTTAATAAGTTATTGGCCTGGTTCAACCGTCTAAACCTTATTCCCGCGGAGCAGCATGGTTTCCTACCTGGAGCTTCAACCTGTACCAATCTTATTGACACTTTGTATGACGTTTGCAGAGCTGTTAACCAGGGGAAGTCAGTGGATATAATTCATCTCGACCTGGCTAAGGCCTTTGATAGAGTTTGTCATCAAAAACTCCTGAGCAAACTGGAGTGTTACGGTATCCGTGGCAAGATACTTGACTGGATAAGGTCTCTTTTACAGCACAGGAACATGACTGTTCGAGTCAGGACTAGTTTCTCTGAAAAATTTCCCTGTACTAGCGGCGTCCCGCAAGGAGGGGTTCTGTCCCCCTTGCTGTTCCTGATTTACACTATTGAGCTGCCCCGGGTTCTTAAGACACATTCAGACATTCATGTACAAGTTTATGCAGATGACATCAAAGTATACTGTGCATATGAAGATGAGAACAATTTCGCTTTGCAAGATGCGCTCAAAATGTCAGTCGAAAGAATGTGTGAGTGGGCAACTTTGTGGGACATACCCCTAAACCTAAACAAATGTCTGGTTATGCATTTCGGAGAGAGCGCAGCTGTCGAGTATGTAGTAAAAGACGTAAAGCTTCCAACATGTGCTTCTACTAGAGACCTTGGAGTTGATTTCGATTCTAACCTAAAATTTTCCAATCAGATTGACCGAGTCGTTAAGAAGGCGTATTCTGCACTTTTCATGCTTATGAGGAACATACATTGCTCGGATCCATCCATTCTTCTGCGCCTATATAAAGCTTATGTCTTACCTCATCTAGAGTACTGCTCACAAGTTTGGAGTCCCTCTCTCAAGAGAGACATACTTAAAATTGAAAGGGTCCAGCATGTGTTCACTCGGCTGCTCTGGTACAGAGTCACATCCTGTACTGGTAGGCATGATGAATCACATCATGTGTTGGTTCCACCTGCTTATCATGTTAGACTTAGATTGTTTTCATTGCGCTCATTACAGTACAGGCGAGTTCTTTCCGATTTGGTATTCTGCTTTCGTGTTCTTAGGAAGGAAGTCAGGCTGTCGGCCAGTAAGTATTGGTGTTTTAGGCCTACGAGCACTAGACATGGTGGGTTTAACCTTCACTACCCTTACATATATCCCAAAAATTATTCCTTAATGTTCAACATTATTTTCAATCGTTGCGCGAGATGGTTTGAGCTTCTACCACCTCACGTTCTCCAAGCGCCTGATAGCAAGGCTTTCAAAAGTAGGCTAAGCAAGCTCGACCTCTTGCGCACTTTGAAAATCCCTGAATTAGTTTGATTCTCTCTTCATTTTTCGTTTCAGTCGCAGAACTACCTACTTGGTCAATATGGATTTATTTCCTGTGGCCACCCTGTGCCGAACGACAAAGCCTTTGCCTTGTTTCACACGATGGCTCTCCCACCCGTCTAGAGAATTAATCCTTACTCCGGGGACTCTTTATGATTCCGTACCCATACAGATTTAGACTTCATGTTATTTGGCTATTTTTGAGACCCATTTCTTCTTTACTGGTTTTGAGCATAAAACTTTGGGAGCAATAAGCCGAGTAGTTGTGAGTTTTTCTTCTCGAAAATCGTGGGCTTCAGCTGTGAAGGTCAGTCGTTTGAGGAACCCGAAGGATGATGAACCCGCTCGCTTGAGGTCCCCCTCGGTTTGTTCGCCTGGGGTCCCGGACGAATTCGTTCGTAACGGGTTAAGTTGTCAGCAAGCCCCAGTACTGTTGTCACCTCTCTGCGTTCTGGACCAAGGACCAGGATCTCGCGGGTGGACCCTTTCATCTACCTGAAGGGGAAAATGACCTTATCATCCTGTCACAATGATGGTCCCGCTTCTTATTTCCTCTAGAACTTCGACTCACAGCCTATTACTTCGCTCTTGTTCCCTGTGTTTAGGCCTTTATGTTTGTGTTTGTTTGTGTTTGTTTGTTTGTGTTTTGTTTTGATTTTGTTCTATTTTCAATTCTTCACTGTGTGTTGCGTATTTAGATTTTTTTCCCTGGGCTATGGCACACCCTCCGGGTGTATTCAAATAAATAAATAAATATAGGGGTCAATTGAGGTCCTGATTACGAATCCAACATTCATTGTTGGCGCCGGCGCACCAGTGCTTGAAATAAAAGTGATATTTGTGATCAGGATGTCGATTAACCCCCATATGCAAGTTTTCATCAACTTTGGTGAAAAAAGTGGTGGGCGCCAAATTGGCGCATAATGGCGCCAAATGACGCCAGCGCTCGAAACGGATGTGATATTCGCGCATCGAATTACATCTATAGGCAACGTTTCAGCGAAAAAATTTTTTTTGAGTTTTTTTGGGGTAGGAATAGTTCAATACTGCCTCTGATTCTAGTATGAAACAATTGAAACAACGCGTGGAAAAATGTCAGAAACACTTTAATGCAAAAATTAGTGAAATCTGTATCATAACCTACCCGAAAAAAGGAGCCAATAAAGTAATAACTTACACGTAAGAAGCAGCCAATAAAGTGAAAAATAGGGAGAAATAACTTAGCCAGGCTGGAGAGAGCTGATCGCCGCCAACAGTTCCTACGTACGCGGTCGCTGATGCACACGCGCCTGCGACCCGGCCGCCTAATCAACCGCCCGATGACGACTGTAGTTTTGGGTACTACGGCTTGGAGTAGTGAATTTTTGCTTTTACTGCATGTCGAGCGGGATGGGCGGGGGGCGGCAAAGGGTTAGCAGTGTACAGCAGAATCAAGAAAACGAATTAACGAAAACGATTGGATAAAGAAAACGGATTCGCCATCAGTCGTGTGTACTGTAGTTAATCATTTAAAAATGCTTCAAAGACTCAGGCGTGCAGTAATGTGTGTCGGCCAAACTGATAGAAAAAAAAGTGGAGAAACTCACTCGGAAACACGAAGCGTATATTTGTGCGAGCATTGATGATTTTGGAGAACTATTCATCATTGGAGAAATGAGGGCGATCTGCAACGCATTATGATGATGGATAAAATTCAGATGCAGATGATGGCGAAATCTCACCCTAGTCACAGCTTTCGGGCAATTATACTCGTCGTCTTGCTTGAACCAAATTCGACACCAAGGATCGTCATGTATGACGTGAGGATGTTCCCTATTATTAGCAATTTGCTTCAATACTGCTTTGTCACTCTTCAAAGGCTCATTTCATGCAGATAATTGGAGCGAGGACCTGGCGTGGAAATGCTCGTGTTTCATTGGCGTGCCACACTTCTAATGGTAAGACTGTAGAAGCAGGGACGAACGAGTGAGAAAATGATACGCCCAACTCCTCTCACCGTGTTAGTGTGAAATTTTCGAAATCTTTTCTTGGGTCCTATATGAGCCGATGGTAAATTGGCTGATCCAATTGGTCTCACAAGGGAGGTCGTTCAAGTCGTGATGAGCTTTTTAGGGAACGGTTTGTTGCATGATGTAGGGGTCCATGCATTGGACCACACAGATGGGGTTCATTTTTGCTGAATGTTCTTGGGCATGCCAAAAAGGAGTGAAAAAAATTCGACAAGAAAGGGCGATTTAAACCGCTTTATTCACCTCCGCTCTAGCTGTAGCGTTGACAGTGTATAGTATATGAGGTGTTCTTTGAGCAGGCATGAAAAACAACGCAAAATAAGGTCAAAATCCAAGTACTTTACTTGGCATGTGGTGAGCTACAATGGAGTTTCCTAGGTCATCTCCTCATGTCTCTTCAGTGGTTCCTGCGCCCCCAACTCAGTGGTCGATGGTGTGGTGGATAGCATGGACTCCCAATCCAGTAGTTTGTGGATCGGATCCCGTGGAAGACAGTTTTTGGCATCCATTCATATTTCTTCCTTCCTGTGTTCCTGTGTGCCCGATAATGTGTATGACCCGTATATACGCCATTTAGAGGCATAATCTATGCGGTGATAATTCACAAACGCGCCTGCCTCACATAACTACTACTCTCGCGAAATAGAATTGAAAAACTGCCCTCAAACTTGGGTTGCGGCGGTTCTCCGATGCCGTGATCACGAATTTTTGAGTACGGCGCAATGTGTCGCCCTTTTGGTGCAAAGGCTTTCTCGTACCAACGTCATTGTCAGCCTGCGCGCGGGGCCTATTGGGAGCCAAAATTAAGTGTCAGAACCGTGATCAGGAATCAGCTACCCCGGTGAGTGACGCCGAAAAAAAATTACTACGAGCTTTCCGGGTTATGCACCATTTACAACTAAATTGAAGTGAAAATACAAGTGCTTTCCTCCAGGCAGGGAATAACGAGCTCCTTGTTGAAAGCCTAGACTGTGAAAGTGAAGAAAGATTCAGAGTGCTTGTTCGGTTAATCTTGAGGCGTATGAACGGTGTTTTTTTTAGACCTTTATTTGAAGGTTAAGGACGGTGGGGCGCAAAAAACTTTCAAAAATCTAGTGATTAGCGGTCCATTCTTGCCAAAACCTTATCCTTGACGCTTACTAAGTTGGTGAGGTCGCTTCGTGACAGGGAGGGTGCGAGGCCACTGCCATCCAGATGGTTGCGTTCAGTGCCCACTATCACAAGAACAGTTTACCTTGAATACTAGGTTTCAACAGAAAAAAATTTTCCGTTGAAACTTCATATACAGGGGCCCTAATTAGTTCCCTCTGAACATGGATCCCGACATTTTATGATCCACGCGCCCAAAACGAGGTAAAATCTAGGTTTCAGCGGTGGGCGGAAATCGGGCCACGGGGCGAGGGGGAAGGGGCATGCTTTCATAGAGCTCTGACAAAAACTTCAGCCTACCTCCACTGGGGTACTGCCCGAGTAAAGGTCCTTTTGGCATTTCCCCGATCTTATTAGGTTTGGTCGAAAGTCTCAGGACTGTGCGTTTTGTGTTTCACTCTTAACGTTCCTTAAACTTTTTTAAAATTACTCATCGATTATAATCGAAATAGGCACCATGGTCGAATCAGCCACACTTTTGCCCCAATGTGGACAGCTGGGGTTGAGAAATCCCATCCTTATTCAAAAAACTGGAGTGCCGTCGCGAATATTCAACGAGCCACTAAGGCTTTTTTTGCCTGGTCCTGATTGTATTATCCAGCAAGGGAGTTCTGAAAATGTTGGAAAAGGTGATGGTCGGTTGGCGAAAGGTCTGAAGAATGTGGCGGTTGAAGTAGAACTTCAACCCCCAATTCGTTCAATTTATGGATAGTGATTTGTGAAACGTGTGGCGGGCGTTGTCATGCAAAGGAATCGGACCCTTTTTTGATAAGTGTTGGCTGCATCTGACAAAATTTTCGGTACAATTCGTCGATTTCTTCACAGTAGGGTTCTGCTGTGATGGTTTGGCCTGGTGATAAAAAGTTATAGTGGATCACACCAGCCGATGACCACCAAGCCTGACCAGAATTTTTTTTCGTGAGGGTTCGGCTTTGAAAATTACCTCGGTGGTTCGTCGAAATCCAACCACTGTCCGGAACGTCTCCTGTTATCATACATGACCCATTTTTCATCACAGGTGACAATTCGGCCCAAAAACAGGTCGTTTCTGCTGCGCAAAAGCAATGCAGAAGGAACCTCGAGACGTGCCGATTCCTGCCGGTCACTCCGATTGTGGGGCACCCAATTGTCGAGTTTTTTCACCTTCCCAATGCGTTCCAGACCATCTGCAACAGTGGATTTGCCAAGGCCTAGCTCTTCTGCTATCTCTCGAACTGTTTGGGATGGGTCAGCCTCCAAAATCCCCCTAAAATCCTCGTCAGATATTGCTTTAGGTCGACCGCTATGAGGTTCATCTTCAAGGCTGAAATCTCCAGAACGAAATTTGTTGAACCATTGCCGCACAGTGCTTTCTCTAGCACTATTGGGCCCCCACACCTGGTTAATTTGTTGAGCTGTTTCGATTGCGGATTGCCCCAATTTATAGTCGAAGAAAAAAATCGTCCGAAGTGCTCTTTCATGCTTGAAAAAATCTTGAAAAAAGGGGGTTTATCAAGCAATGGTGAAACGGCAATTATACCATCAGATAGCGCAAGAAATTCTCTACAGGATGTGCTACTGAGAAGCAAGGCAGAATGAGTTTTTAATCAGCAGTGAATGTACAAAAAATAGGTGCACAAAACGCTGAGAACTTTCCGGACAACCTAATATTTTACGTTGTTTTCCATGCCTAGTTGAGGAACATCTAATAAACGATGTGTCATCTATTCTGAGCAGTTTGTTTTTTTCCTTTTTTTGCATTTAAAATAGCGGAGCTCACCGCATCCTGAACGACCTCCCTTGTCAGATCGCCCACCCGTTTTCCACCAGTTGTTGCCACCTGCCTTCCACAATGGGTGGAGAGCAGGCCAGCATCCAATCCAGCCCCCTCCTGTCTGCACTGCAAACGATTGTACGTTGAGCTTTGGAAGGCAGGAAAGGGGTCGTAACAAATGCTTACCGTATCATTGTTTCTCGTGGTTTGAGGTCGAATTTTGTCGCGATATAGTTGTTCCTCGATGGAAAGCGCAGAGCAGGATTCACCGCTTCTAGAGCGGATTCAAACCGTTTCATCGTTGCCTTCAAAACAATGCTTGGGTTTTAACACTTAATTGAAGTCAAATATAACAT